CCTCTGATGCTGCCTGGCCTGCTGTGTTCCTCCAGCTCCACAGTGTGTTATCTCTGACTCCAGCATCGGCAGTTCTTACTATCTCTGAGCCAACAGTAAGTAATTCCTTTACATCTTTTTGCCTTTGTTTTCATTATCCTGTCTTGAAGCATTTCATAGGTTTACAACCATCCACATTACACTAATTCCGCAGCGTCCCACACAACCACAACATCTGCTTGGCCGACACCTTGTTATCTCAGATTCTCCAGCATCGGCAGTTTCTACTATCTCTGAATTAATTTTAACCCCACTGTGAAGCCTCTTCTAAGGATGCCTACCTTGAAGAAGTTACCGTCCTCCCTCCGGAAAGACCTCAGTGAATCTCTCTCCCGCTACAACCCTCTGGTAATCTCTCCGGCCCTGAAACTGCTCGAACCTCACCTTTACTGGCTCCATCCCCTCTCCACCCATCTGCTCCTTTATCCATCTTCTATCCGCCTCCCCCTCTCTCTCTATTTATTTCAGAATCCCCTCCCCCCCCAACATTTCTGAAGTAGGGTCCAGACCCGAAACGTCAGCTTTCCTGCTCCTCTGATGTTGCTTGGCCTGCTGTGTTCATCCAGCTCCACACTTGTTATCTCAGACTCCACACGTCCCATTGAACCTCACCCGGTGGCCCCGCCCCCACGTTTCGCGCAGGCGTCGTTTGGAATGCTGTGTTGTGGGCCTGCGAGGAGCTGGTGGCCCGTCAGCCTTGTGGCCCTGTTATCCTGGAAGGAGGGAGGACAGAGTGATAGTGAAGTCCGGCTGAGGTGTATGTAGTGGGTAATGGTGTGGAGACGAATGGCGCGCGGCTTAGGTTTGATATTCCTTGAGGATGGGATGTTGACGCGATCTTCTCCATGTACGGGCGCTTGTATCCTGCTTCAATTTCCACGTCCTTCTGTTTGCAGCCTCTCTCTGCAGGTTTATCCCAAACAGTTAACACTCCCTCAGGAGAAAAAAAAATCCCTAATGCATGATTTAGATTTAATTTTCATTGACCTGTGCTGTCGGAGTCTTCTATGTTGATTTAATGTGGAGTAATCTGACTCTGTTTTAAACTTTAATGTTTTATGTACCTGGGTGTGTGATGCCACTGATGCCCTCATTTTCGAGTTTTAGACATGGAATTTCCTTACGCTTCTCCTATTTTACAGTTGAGATCAGTTTTATTATTTTAAAATATACCCGGGTTTACTGAACTGCACAGTTCATAGATCACCTACAGTATGGAAACAGGCCCTTCAGCCCAAAAGTCCACACTGACCCTCAGAGCATCCCTCCCAGACTCATCCCCCTATAACCCATCGAGTCTACACATCCCTGAATCCTATGGGCAATTTAAGCATGTCCAATCCACCTAGCCTGCACATCTTTGGACTGTGGGAGGAAACCATGCAGACACGGGGAGAATGTGCAAACTCCACACAGACAGTCACCCAAGGGTGGACTCGAACCTGGGTCCCTGGTACTGTATGGCAGCAGTGCTAACCACTGAGCCACCATGTGATAATGATCTAACTAGTAGCTGAGCTTAAATACCCTGATACAGCTACTATGCAAGTTGCTATTTTATCAGACTTGACGTTTTTATTCTCTCACCATATCCCATAGCCACTGAAACTGATAAATCTCCTAGGACCTTCTGATTCTGTTTCAATCCTCAGTGCTAATTAAACACCATTCATTGAATGTTTATGTATGTTTTTGAAAGAATCTACACATTTGGCATTGTTTTAAAAACAAAATGTGTTGCAAAAACTCAGCTGGTCTGACAGCATTTCTGAAGAGAGAAACAGTGAATGGCTCCTTTTCAAAACTCGTTGATGTTTTGGTGCACTGGCTTTCCACTACTCCTATTTAAATATCCATACATTGATAAACTTTAATGTTTGGATATCTGGGCTATTACATGTAGATCAGAAATAAGGACATCTCTGCAGGAATTCCTCCAGGATAGATATATTCTAATCAAGTTGCTCAGAGATAGATACCACTTGAGCAAGTGGGACTTGAACCCAACAAATGCTGGAGATCACAGCACGTCAGACAGCATCCATGGAGAGAGAGAAAGCTAAGGTTTTGCGTTTAAATGACTTCATCAGAGATGAGGAATCACCTAGACTTGAAACGTTAGCTTGCTCTCTTTCCATGGATGCTGTCGGACCTGCTGTGATCTCCAGCATTTATTGTTTTCAGTACAGATTCCAGCATCTGTAGTCATTTGTCCCTGGGACTTGAACCCAGTCTTTCTGGCCTAGAGGAAGGAACACTGTGCCATAAGACCCTTAAAAGTTCATCAGGATAGTGTCCTAGGCCCCTCCATCCTGGGAAAATGCCTCAAATTTTCCACTCTATCCATACATATCCCACAATCTTATAAATTTATATCAGGTTGCCCCTCAACCTCCTGCATTCCAGTGAAAACAAACCCAATCTATCCAACATTTCCTAAGTAAACATCCCCCATACCAGACAACATCCTGGAAACCTTTTCTGTACCCTCTCCAAAGCATTCACATCCTACTGGTAGTGTGGTGACCAGAACTGTATGCAATATTCCAAATGTAGCCTAACTAAAGTTCTATAAAGCTGCAGAATAACTTGTCAATCTTTATACTCAGTGCCCTTTCGAATGAAGGCAAGCATGCCATAGGCCTTTTTTACTACCTTAACTACCTATGTTGCCACCTTCAGTGATCTGTGGACCTGCACACCCAGATCTCTCTGCCTATCAGCTCCTAAGGGTTCTGCCATTCACTGTATAATTTCCGCCTGTACTTCACCTTCCAAAATGCATCACCTCACATTGTCTGGATTAAACTCCATCTGCCATTTTTCTGCCCGTGCCTCCAAGTGATCTATATGCTGCTGTATCCTCTGACAATCTTCCTCACTGTCTGCAACACCACTAATCTTTGTGTCATCTGCAAACTTACTAATTAGACTAGCTACATTTTCCTTGAAATCATGTATGTAAATCATGACCAACAGAGATCCCAGCACCGATCCCTGTGGAACGTCACTAGTTACAGCCCTCCGTTGTGAAAAGCATCCTTCTTCCGCTGCCCTCTGTCTCCTATGACTAAGCCAGTTCTGTATCCATCTTGCCAGCTCATCCTGATACCTTGTGACTTCACCTTTTGTATCAGTCTGCCATGAGGGATCTTGTCAAAGGCTTTACTGAAGTCCGTGTAGACAACATCAACAGCTCTTCCCTCATCAATCATAAGTCATCTTAGTGCAGCTCCAACAGCATTCAAGAACCTTGACAACATCCAGGACAAAGCAGCCCGTTTACTAGCACCACATCCACTCCCTCCACTACTGATGCGCAGTAGCAACAGTGTGTACCATCTACAAGATGCACTGCAGAATTCACCAAAGATCCTTAGATAGCACCTTCAAATCCATAATCACTATCACCTAGAAGGACAGGAATCACAGACACAGGGGTACACCATCACCTGCAAACCACTCACCATTCTGACCTGGAACTATATCGCCTTCGGTGTAGTTGGGTCAAAATCCTGGAATTCCCTCCCTAACAACATGGTGGGTCTGCCTACATCACATGAACTGCAGTGATTCAAGAAGACAGCTCACCATCAACTTCTCAAGGGCAACTAGCGATGGAAAATAAATGCTGGCCCAGCTCACGTCCCACCAGTGAATTTAAAAAAATGTCCAAATACTGATTCCTTTTCTGAGGAAGGGTCCAGACCCGAAACGTCAGCTTTCCTGCTCCTCTGATGCTGCTTGGCCTGCTGTGTTCATCCAGCTCTACACCTTGTTATCTCAGATTCTCCAGCATCGGCAGTTCCTACTATCTCCAAGTACTGATTATTTTGCAACAACTGACCATTTTCCCTTGTTCAATGTTACAGTTCCCAAACTTACTGTGTATTTCTTTCCCCATTTTCAGCCTAAATCCTGTTTATTGAATCATCAGCAGTGATGCAGAATGATGGGGAAATGCTTGCCAAGTCTTCATCAATTCTACAAGGAATTGTTGGTAGAAGAGAGGCCCAGTAAGGACATTGCAGAGCTAGCAGCTTTGCTTTCTCCCAGTGTGTGTGTGGATGATCCAAACATAAATGGTGATACCAATGGAACTGCAGAACCAAGTAACAAGGCTTATATCTATGGGGACACAGTATCTGCAGATAGTCGCAGCATGCTGCATGATAGCAACTGTACCCCAAACGACAGTCAGAATGAAATCCTATTGGTTCAGATGTCATTGATTCAGATTATGTGTTCTAAAGTGCATTCTGAAGAACTAAATCAAGATGTCAGAGAATCATACATGAAGACCATAAGAATTCTATTGGAAGATATGGAAATATTAGCTAAACTGGTGAGTATGACTGAATATTCTGATAAGAATCATTCTTTTATGTTTCATTACACACCAGGCCATTTGGCCCAACAAATCAATGCCAATGTGTATGTTCTGTGCAAGCCTTTTCCCACTCTGTTCACTTAAAGTCATAGAGAGTCGTAGAGTAATACAGCACGAAAACAGGCCCTTCTGCCCAAACAGGTCCATGCTGACCATGGTGCCCACTCCTCTAGTTCCAATTGCCCGCATTTGGTCCATATCCCTCTAAACTCTTCTCATCCATGTACCTATCCAAATGTTATTGAAATGTTGCTATTGTACCTGCCTCAGCCACTTTCTCTGGCAGCCCATTCCATATTCGAACCACTCTCTGTGTGAAGAAGTTGCCCCGCAGGTCGTTCTTAAATCTATCCCCTCTCACCTTAAACCTATGCCCTCTAGTTTTCAATTCCCAATCCCTGCATTCATCCTATCTATGCCTCTCATGATTTTATACATCTCAATAAGGTCACCCCTCATTCTCCTATGTTCCAAGGAATAAAGTCCTATCCTGGCCAGTCGGTCCCTATATACTAGTCCTGGCAACATCCTCATAAATGTTCTTTGCACACTTTCCAATTTAACTATGTATTTCTTATAACTTCATCTTACTGTATCAGTACAATCCTAATCCTTTCTTTATTATGTATGTTTTTGTTCATTCATTGGATGTGGGTGTAGCTGGCTGGACTACCATTTATTGTCCATCTTTAATTGAGTCCTTGAGAAGGTGGCGTTGAATTGCTTTCTTGATCTGCTGCCATCATTGGCTGTTAGGGAAGGAGTTCCAGTATTTTGAACCAGCAACACTGAAGGAACAGCAATATAGTTCCAAGTCAGGATGGTGAATGGCTTGAAGTAGTACTTGGCAGGTGGTGGGTTTCCCAAGTATCTGCTGTTTTTGTCAATCTAAATGTTAGTGGTCATGGATTTAGAAGTTGTTGTCTCAGGAGCCTTGGTGAATTTCTTCATCTTGTAGATGGTACATGTTGCTGCTACTGTGTCCTTGGCGGAGGGAGTAAATGTTTGTGGGCTGGTTCTTATTAGAAGGTGTCGTCAACCTTATTGTGAGTTACAAGGAATATATGATATTTTCAATATTGCAGACTGCAATGGAAAAAGGACTATTTTAAAAACGATGGTTGAGGAAGGAATTGTTGCACTTGTAAAAACAAGTTACTGATAGTCATTGTGTATGATGTTTACACCTCTTCTTTGTTCAAGCAGTTTGTCAGTGGCCTAGCACCAGGAGTTGTATGCAAGCTGAGATTTGGCCAACAACAGGTAGTTGAGTGGTTTGTGCCTGAGAACAGTTCTGTAGTTCCTGGGTAGCTGAACAGCTTGTGGGTGTGATTGATACAGTGAGAAACCTACAGACCTCCAGAAGGGTAGGTTATGCCTCCCTCGTTTTGAAGTAAAAATACCTGAATTCTGAATAAAGCCAGTTGTTTTCTCCCACCAGTTGCTGTAAGATATTGCCCTTAACTGGTCACTAAAAGTCTCTGTATTTAGTATATTGATTGTCCTGTACTTGTTCAAAAAAAGGGGGAAGGAATCTGGAGAATAAAGATTGAAGAGCAAAGTCCTAACAAGCCAAGTGGATCATCCTAGCAAACTCTGTGATTAGGTGTTATTGCTCTGTGATTGCCAGTTTCTTCCCTCTTCCCCTCCTCCTCACCAACCACTACCCCCCTCCCCCAATACATAAAGCCAATTTCTTTTTGTCTGTTTGAATAGGATATTTAAAAGAGGTTAGACATTTAACTAGTGGAGCCATGTGTTGACAGATAGACCTATAGGATCCCTACAGTGTGGAAACAGGCCATTCGGCCCATCAAGTCCACACCAACCTTCTGAACAGCATTCCATCCAGACCAACCCCCTGTCGACTCCACCATCATGCTATCCATGTAACTCTGCATTTCCCATGGCTACTCCACCTAGCTTATATGTCCCTGGACACTGTGGGCAATTTAGCATGGCCAGTCCACCTAACCTGTAAGGCACAAGTCAGAATGCGATGGAATACTTTTCATTTGCCTGATGAGTGCAGCTTCAACAACTCTACTATGCCCATTTGGGGAAGTGCACTGATTCTTGAGCCCCACCAGGATCACCACAAAAGTTGAAGATCTAATCAAGATATGTAAAGTCCCCAGTTTACCTCTTTGATTACTTGTGGGTTTAGAATTTGTGTTTTAATAAGCAGTAGTTCTTAAGTACAGGATCTTGGTCACCGTTTTGTGTTAACTTGATTCCAACAAACAGGTAAATTGGGGACTTTGCATGTCTTGATAAGATCTTTAACTTTTGTCGTAACCTTTATTTTCCCATGCTCTGAAGTTTTCTCTCTCCACATCACACAAATCCCTAATTCCTAATACCATTCTAGCCAGGTCAAATATTTTTTATTGAAGGGTCCTTGTGAGATTTCTTTGGGACTACTCGTTAGTTTTCAAGTTTTCAAGGACTCCATTTTCATTCTCCTTGACTAATTTATTGGGTCATTCAGTCATGTCATAGCAATATCTGTATTGCTATACAGATGCAATGGCTGTATTGCTGGACCCAGATGCTCTCTCTCTGCAGATGCTGCCAGATCTGCTGAGTTTTTCCAGCAATTTCTGTTTTTCTTCTGTATTAATGTTATTCCTTTTTAAGGTTTTCTTCCTTTGATAGTGCATACCAAGGTGCAAAGTAACGCATTGAGAATGAATGTCATACCTGCAGTCCCTTTTAAGCAAATACAAACAATTAGCACTCTTTGGATTTGTTCAGTTAATTTCACATTATATCCCTCACATTTCTTCTTAAAGTGGCAAACACATCATGACACTGAATTTGAAAGGTCCAGCACAAGCGGAGTTCACACTAATGCTGTAGCCAAAGCTGACCATCAGATGACAAATGGTTTAATTCATATAGGCTTCACGTTTCAGTGAGGTTTTTTTTCCCCAAGCTAATGTGCCTCCTCACATTATCATCTGTACTTCAATAAGACATTGATTGGATGGACCAAAGGGTCCAGGCACAGGCTTGGAGGGCCGAAGGGCCTGTTCCTGTGCTGTAATTTTCTTTGTTCTTTGTCATTAGTTGTGCTTTCTTGGACCCATATTAAAAATAATGCTCTGGGGATACATAGGTTCAAATGTAATCAGCAGCTAGTGCATTTATAAAACCTGTGGATTTGATAGCTTTTTCAGGAATGGTGCTATTAAAATATCACTATTGGTGTAAAACAAAAATCTGTTTCACGAATGTCCATTTGTCCATTTGAGAAGGAAATTTGCCATCCTTACCTGGTCTGGCCTACATGTGACTCCAGGCAAACAGCAATGTGGGTGATATTTAACTGCTTTCCAATGCAGTCTAGCAAGCCACTTTAAGGGCAATTAGGGATGGGCAACAAATGTAGACCACTAGTAATGGCCACATTCCTTGAAAGAATAAAGCCTCCAAATCTAATATCATTGACAGTTTGAAATTTTATTCTGTATTCTAATTGCCAAGTCATTTATGTAGATATATCATAAAAATCGGTGACCTAACTTGCTCTTTCATGTCCTTCATCCAATTTTTTTATTCAACCCTTTTCACCAAGAGCCTTTTAAGTTGTTACCCAGCCTTTTAAGTGTAATTGTCAAATACTTTCTTGCAATCAATATAGCCAATGTCCATTATATTCCTGACATCAAATCCTTCTTGCTGAAAATATTCAATTCGTCATAAATAATTTGCATTTTACAAACCCATACTGGCTGTCCTTAATTGTACAGTATCTAACTTCTTCAAACATGCCTTAACGTGTTTTGTGATTATTGTTTTGAAAACTTTGCCCACTGCTGATTTTAAACTGATTACTCGGAATGTCCTCACATCCTTTCTTGAACAAGGGTACTGTATTCTCATTCTCCAATCCTCTGGTACTGGCCAACATCATCAAAGACCCATTGCACCCCGGTAATGATCTCCTACAACCTCTTCCGTCAGGCAGAAGATATAGAAGTCTGAACACATGCACAAGCAGGTTCAGGAACAGCTTCTTTCCAGCTGTTATCAGACTGTCCAATGGACTCTAGCCTCAAATAATGTGACCTGTATGCCTCTAAGTCTTTTTGATCTATACATCCTTTGCTTGCTGTGATCTGCCTGTACTGCTCGTAAACAAAGATTTTTGCTGTATTTCAGTACACGTGACAATAAAATCAATAAATCAAGTATGTGTGACTTTGCCATTTCTTAGACCATGCAGACTATCAAGACTGCTCTGCCATTCAATGAGATCGTGGTTAATCTGATAATCCTCAACTCCACTTTCCTGCCTTTACCCATACAAGGGGGACTCTGATTTAAGAACGTATGACTCACAAACACTTGCAATATTGCATACTTAACTAATGCAATTCCATACAGGAATGTATTAATATTAGTTTTAAAGATTCCCATATGACCATTTTCCCCTACTTGCGAACAGCTATTTTGTGTTGTTCTGCGATAGTAAGTACTGCCGATGCTGGAATAAGAGATAACACAGTGTGGAGCTGGAGGAACACAGCAGGTCAGGCATCATCAGAGGAGTAGGCAAGTTGACGTTTCGGATCAGCACCCTTCTGAAGGAGGGTCCTGACTTGAAACAGCAACTTTCCTACTCCTCTGATGCTGCCTGACCTGCTGTGTTCCTCTAGTTCCATGCTGTGTTCTCTCTTGTATTGTTCTGCATTGTGTTCTGACTTGTGCATGAATTGGCTTTGGAACAGACTCCTGCATGGAACCTGCTTGCAAACTGGGGACTGCCTGTAACCCTCAATTCCCTTTCTGATTAAAAATCTGTCTATTCAGGCTTGAATACCGTTAAGGTCCCAGCCTCTATAGCCCACACAACAAGGAATTCTACGGATTCAGTACCGTCAGAAGATATTCCACTTCATCTCTGTCTTAAAATGGGCAACCCCTTACTTTGAGGTTGTGCCTTTTGTCCTAAATTCTCCCAGAAGGGGAAACAATCTGTCTGCATCTACCGTGTCAAGTTCCCTAAGAATCTTATACATTTCACTAAGGTTGCCTCTCATTTTACTAAACTCCAATGACCACAGGCACGACCTACTCAACCTGTCCTCCTAAGACAGCTCCCCATACCCAGGCTCAACTTCGTGAACTTTCTCTGGACTGTGTCCAATGGCAGTGTATTTTTCCTTAGATAAATTGTCCACACCTGGAACACTGTGAACTAACTAGTACCATATGTCATTTTACCAAGACTTCCCTATTTTTACATTTCATTCCCTTTGAATAAAGGCCAACGTTGAATTTCTTTTCCCTATTACCTGCTGAACTCTAATGCTAGGTTTTTGTGACTTATTCGTGAGGATTCCCAAATGCCATGTACGACAGTTTTCTGCAGTTTTTCGCCATTCAGTTCCTCCATTTTTCCTGCAAATTTGGCCACCTTACATTTCTCCATATTATATTCCATCGGCCAAGTTGTTGCCAACTGGCTTAAACTGTCCATATCGCTCTACAGATTCTTTGTGTCATCCTCAGTGCTTTCCTTCGCACCTATTTTTGTCTCCTCTGCAAAACTGGTTATACCATCTTCACTTTCCTCATCTAAGTCATTAATACATTGAGTCATACATCATGGAAACACAGGTTTTGGTCCAACTCGTCCACACTGACCAGACATCCCAATCTGACCTCATCTCATTTGCCAGCATTTGGTCCAAATCCCTTTAAATCCTTCGTATGTCTATCCAGATGCCTTTTAAATGTTGTAATTTTACCCACCTCGACCACTTCCTCTGCCAGGTCGTTTCATACACTTACATGACAAAGTTATCCCTCAGGACCTTTTCAAATCTTTCCCCTCTTACCTTAAACCCAAACCCTCTAGTTTTGGACTGACCCACCCTTGGAAAAAGACCTTGGCTATTCACCGTGTCTATGCCCCTCAAGATTTTGTGAACTTCAGCCTCTGATGCTCCAGGGGAAAAAAGCCCCAGCCTTTTCAGCCTGTGCCTATAACTCAAACCCTCCTGTCCCAGAAACATCCTTGTAAATGGTTTCTGCACCTCTCAAGTTTAACAACATCTTTCCTATAGAAGCGTGTCCAGAATTGTATGCAGTATTCTAAAAGTGGCCTCACGAATGTCCTGTACAGCCACAACATGACGTTCCAATTCCTTTACACAGTGTTCTGACCAATGAAGGCAAGCATGCCAAATGCCTTCTTCGCCACCCTATCTCAGTCCTAAAAGGCCTATCCATTATTCTGAATCTATTCCTTTTGCTTTGGGGCCTCCTACCCTACTGCACTGTACTTTAAGCCACAGATTAACCTTCCATATCTTCTTTGTTTCTTACTGGCACACAGCACTAGAAATAACACAGAGACTGTAGGCTACCAGCCATCTGTTATGTCATTGCTATCGATATGTACCACAGCTTCTGGTTCACTCCCTTGCTCCTGCAGAATATCTGTATTCTCTCCATGATGTCCTTTACCGTAGCATGGAGGAAGCAACATGCCATGGAGGATTGAAAATTATGGCTACAGGTGCCTTCCTAACTCGGGAATCTCCTGTAATGGTTCCATTTCTCTTTGTTTCCCATGTGCAGCCCATCCCCTTTGATGCCATGGTCTGGACTGCACTGCTTCAAGTTGTAATCATTCTCAGCAGTCTCCAGTGCAGAGAATTGTGTGGATACTTGATGTGAGTCAGTTTTCTTTTTGAACTGAAATCTTCATACAACTATATCCCAACATTCATTCTAAAAGTCAGGAGGTTTCCTGTCCCTGTCATCCTCTTCCTCCATCAGAACATACCATGTAATGAGCTTGATGTCCCTGCCCCTTCAAACACCTCTTCACTCCCTTTAATATTATGAAACTAGGTGCCAGCGAGACTTGTAAAGATCAGAAAAAGTCTAACTGAATATTCAACCAAAATGGGACTTTTTTTTTTTACAGATTATTAAAGCCAACATCAGATCAAATCTTTAAAAAAAACATAAACTGAATTATTCCATAGCCTTTCCAAATATTGAACAATAACAGTTTTCTCTTTATTAATCACTGTACTCTTGAAATTCTGAGTGATATATTATGTTTTCCCTTCCCAGGTTTTGCTGTTTGGCTGCCCAGATAAGCTGTTGTCTCATTTGGCTATGAAGAGTGTTGCATCACTGATTCTGGTTGAGATTCTGGTGATGGTGAGTATGAACTCAGGGTACAGCTTTTAATAATAGGAACATTTTACCATTATATGCAAGTATTGATTAGATGGCGTTGCTTTTGGGAAAAATTATTCTGTTATCAAGTAGGTTTCTTGAACAGAGTGCTTTTTGCAATGCTCATCTTCATTGTTCCGTGTGGTTTTCTTTATACAAGAAGAGGGATCCGTCACAAATGGAAGAGAGATGGTGGGACAACTTGTCTCCTTTGTCTCCTTTGTCCTCACTTTCAAGTTGTATACATCTTATTGTAGACACTATGGCAAGTGTTGCAAAGCACTGTGTTGTAACTTTTATCATAGAATCCCTACAGTTTGGAAACAGCCCATTTGGCCCAACAAGTCGTGTCTGCAGGGGTTTCTTCCGGGTGCTCCGGTTTCCTCCCAAGGTCCAAAGATGTACAGGTTAGGTGGATTAGCCATGCTAAATTGCCTGTTGTGTCCAGTGATGTGTAGATTAGGTGGGTTATAGGGGAATGAGTCTGCGTGGGATGCTCTGAGGGTCGCTGTGGACTTGTTGGGCTGAAGCGCCTGTTTCCACACTGTAGGGATTCTATGATTCTAAGTCCACACTGACTCTCCAAAGAGCATCCCACCATATCCCTGTAACCCTGCATTTCCCACGGCTAATCCACCTAACCTACACATCCATGGATACTATGGGCAATTTAGCATGACCAATCCACATAGCCTGCACATCTTTGGAATGTGGGAGGAAACCGGAGCTCCTGGAGGAAACCCACACAGACACGGGGAGAATATGCAAACTCCACACAGACAATCATCCAAAGGTAGAATCGGACCTGGGTCCCTGGAGCTGTGAGGCAGCAGTGCTAACCACTGAGCCACCATAGACACGAGACAGATTTTCTGGGTTAGTTTAAATCAAAAGGAAAAATACTTTTATTCACAACACTGAAATACAGATGTAACAAAACATTTCATCAAGACACATGCAAGAAAAAATGAATTTGAGAGAAATTGTGCACATGGTTTACTAACAGAAATACTGGAAGCAAATTTTAAAAAACATCATTTTTGTTAATAAAATGCAGTGTTATAGGCCTAAGTGGTTCTCTTCTGTGGTTGTTTGGAGATTAATGGAAGTTGGGAGATTCTGGGTTTTGAGATGAGCTTGAGGCTGAAGTTTGTAGCTGACAACAAATTAGCCCCTTTTTTCTCTCTCTCTCTCTCTCTCTTTCTCTCTCTCTCGCTGCCCCTCAGCCCAGGTTCGATCAATGGTATTAGGCAGGATTTCTTTCTTATTAGAGGATCATCCTACTTGTAACCTGTTGGATTTCAAACTGACTTATCTCTGGCTGGTTCTTGGAGTAATTATATTCATTATCTGCAATCCGTTATGTGCCCATGTATTTCCATTGTCCAATGATTCAAAGTCAGAAGCAATTCTACACAGTGGGGGATGAATACTGACTGTTACACATGCTTTTGATTTAATTCTCCATGCTTCTTGGTAACGTTTCAAACTCACAGGCACTAACTCTGGGACTGAGAAACATTGAATTTGAGTTTTCGCAAATACCAAGACAAGAGAAGGTGTAAATTCACAGGTAATATTGTATTCCACATGCCCAGTCAAGGGAAATTAATTCACTCATGGTCATGTACATTTTATAAACCTTTTAGAGACCTGAGTTAATTTTTTTGTAAGTACAGGAATCACAAAGGTCAAGTGACCTTTGGCAGCCATCTTAACAGCACACTGTGTACCCTTTTCAAGGAAAAGCCCATTTCAGAAGGGTCCAAATTGAATCAAGTTTGTATCCTGAAAGTTAGAAATATGCTATATCCTTACAAGGTAGGACAGAGTCTATGGAAACCACAGACTGTTAAGACATTTAAGAACATAAGAAATAGGAGTAGGGCATTCAGTCCATCAAGCCTGCCCTTCTATTCAATTAGGTGATGGCTGATCTACGCCAGGCCTTAACTGTGCTAGCTCCTCATAGCGCTCAAAACCCTGATATTTCAAAAATCTGTCTACCTCCTCTTTCAGTACTTTCAATGATCTTCCCACTACATATCTCTCTGGGGTAGAGTGCTCCGAACATTGCTACCTTCTGAGATGTCAATTTTAAATATATGTTCTTTTATTCTGTAACTATGCTTTCCCAGTTTGAGATTCACCAATAATGGAAACGTTAGAACATCAACTTGTCTAGGCACTTCAATCTTGTATGTTTTAATAGATCATCCCTCATCCTTCTAAACTCTAGATGTATAAAGGCCTAACCTGCTTAGCCATTCTTGACAAGTCAACTCCTTTACCCAAGGAATTAACCTAGTGAATCTATTTTGAACTGCCTCTAATACCTATATATCCTTTCTTAAATACAGGACCAAAGCTTTACATTACTCCAAGTGTGGCCTCACCAACACTCTGTACAGTTATAACAAGATTTCACAGTGTTCAAATTATAATTCGCTAATGATAAAGGCCAAGATTCCATTTGCTTTCTTAGTTACTTGCTGTACCTTCATACTAACTTTGTAAACTTTTTTTCTCAGATCTCCTCTAAACAACTTACTGATCACCTTAGTCTTATGCCCTCTGGTCTTAGACAGGTCTGCCATAAGGAAGAGTTTCTCACAATCCACACTCTGTATGTGCCTCTCATAATTTTGTATATCTCAATCAGATCCACCCTCAGCCTCCTCTGCTCCAAGGAAAACCAACACAGCCTATCCAGTCTCTCCTCATGACTGAGACTTTTCATCCCAAGCAATATCCTGATGAATCTTCTGTACATTCTCTCCCGGGCAATCATATTTTTATTTAGCTGATACCAATGCCTGTTACCTAGGATTTTCAGGGTATTATGGGTGAGATATTGGATGGCATAGATTATAAGAGCAGGGAAGTCACTTTGGAGTTGTTCAGAACTTTGGTTAGGCTACAACTGTAGTATTATGTGCAGTTCTAGTGACCATACTATAGGAAGGATGTGATTGCACTGGAGGAGGTACAGAGGAGATTCACCAGGATGTTGCATAGGATAGAGCATCTTAGCTGCAAAAAGAGGCTGGATGAGTTGGATTGTTTTCTTTCAAGCAGGGAAGGTTGAGGGTATCCTGATAGAGGTGTTTAAGATTATGAGGGAGATGAACAGGGTGGATAGAAAGCAGCTGGTCCCCTTAACTGAAGAGTGAATAACAAAGGGGAATAATTTTAAGATGAAAGGCAGGGTGTTTAGGGGGGACTTAAAGGAAAAGAACGTTTCACCAAGAGGTTGATATGGGTCTGGAATGCACTACCTGGGATGGTAGTTGAGGCAGGAAACATCACAATCTTTCAAAACGACTTGGATGAGCACTTGAAGTGTCATAACATTCAAGGCCATGGGCCTAGTGCTGAAAACTGGGACTGGTGCAGATTTATTGTATTTTGGGTGGTACAGACTCAATGGGCCAAAGGGGTTCTGTACTGTATGAACCTACAATGCTATTATTAAGCTGGTATGAAAGGAAAAGTACATATTAAATAGATCTACATCTCCAAAGAATAAAATATTATCTGCTGGAAAGTACTGCATAACTTCTGAATTACCATCAATAATGCTACAGTGAATCTGATTATTATAGTTTTAGAATGCTTCCAAAGATGCAGACTGCCTGTGCAGAATGTGGGATCACTGTACTGAGACAACTCTATTTTCTGTGATGAAGTTTGAATGCACAGAAACAAAACATATTAAAAACACAGACCACCTCCCCCACCCACCCAAGCCCAACCTCATTATTTCAAAGGAGCAAAATGGTCTCCTTGCTGTTTGCATGAATTCATCTGAAAAGTGAACTCCACCATGAACATTCCATTATTTCATTTTAAATTGAGGATATTTAAATTGTTGATTGCCACTTTTCCTTTCGGTAATCCCTGGACTAACACAAAACACAATCAAGTGTTCATTACGTTGCACAAGTTTTATCAAGGTTAATGGCTTTCATTAATCAGTACTTTACAAAGTGCCAATGCTCAAATGCCAGTTTCAGTGGGCCACTTGAATGTCATTTTACTACAAAATACAGAACTGCCAGTGATAGGTTGCCAGTGAAATGATTAGTGAATTAGAATGTTTATGGGGTCAGTTATTAATCATTGAACTATTGTGTGCTTTCTGTAATATGTCATTTGTAATTGATTCATGCAGTGTTTTGGTGTTTCTGTAACACCACATTGGAAAGCAAGGTTGTAGTTTCTAAATGTAATTATGCTTCAGTAATCCATTCCAAATATTAATCCATTTTGTATTTTGAACACCAAAATCTTATTTAAAATTAAGGCGCTTTGATAAAGTAAACAGGAAGAAACGGATTCTTCTAGTAGAAAAGATTAGTTCCCAGAGGACACAAATTTAACATAATTTGCAAATTAATAATCCTGGGGAAGAAATGAAGAGACAGTGGCATACTGATATTGTCATTGGACCAGTAATTTGGAGTAATCCCACTATGGCAGCTGACGGAATTTAAATTCACTGAATAAAAATCTCAAATTGAAAGTTAGTCTCATTAAAAGTTGAACTATCATCTGATTCAGTAATGTCCTTTCTCTCTCCTTTAGGGAAGGAAAACTGCCATCCTTAACTGCCCTGCCTTGCATATGACTTCAGACCCACAGCAATGTGGTTGACTCTTAACTGCCTTTGAAATTACCTAGCAAGCCATTCAGTTTAAGGACAATTATGAATGTGACAAAGGCTGATCTTGCCAGTGAAAGAAAGGAAAAATAAAGGCCTTTGATTTGATGTAATGATTTCTGTTGTAGAAACAAAGAGATTATGATTGAGTCGTTAACCAAACTAAACAATAGATAAATAGACTCGAGTATTAAATTTGAGTACTCTCTCTAATATTATGATAAGGAATATGGTGACAGAGCACTTTGAACATCACAATAAGAATAGTAAATTGTGTCTGATCACAAGAGTATTTAACCAGCAGATAAAAGAAAACCAGTGGCTGCAGTGTGTTTGGATTTCCAAAAGGCATTTGATAAGGTACACAAGAAATAGTTTGATAAGATTAGGGGTTTGGGAGTAATACCTATCACCACACAGATAAGGAATAAACAGACCATTTTTGGATTAATTGCCCAAGGGTCTATACTTCTGCCTGAGTTGGAATATAGACAGGTTACAAATATGGACAAAGTGGAGTATGATGTGGCAAAATGTGAGGTTTTTAACCCAGTAAGAAGGATAGAAAAACCAAACTATTTTTTGAATGGTGAGAAATCATTGAATGTTGATGTTCCGAGGGATTAAGTGCCCTTGTATACAAAATACACAAAGTTAACATGCAAATACAGCAAGCCATTAGGTTAGCAAACACCATAATTGCCGTTATTGCGTTTAGATCTCTTCAAATTCCTAATGTACTGATTACAGGATAATTGACTGTGAAGCATAAACTTCTGATGAGCAATTAACTGGTGTCTGTAACCCTCCCAAATAGCCCCCAACTCAAGTTCAAGTCAGAGAATTCACAGCGTTCTGATTGAATAATCAACTAGGTAAAAATAGAGGGATTAAAACTTGCTCTGGATCCTGGTTCACTGTAAAACTGACACCCTGACCAAGCTAACCAAATCCCCTCTTCTCCCATCCAACATCCAACCACACTATATTCGCCATCTCTCAGTAGCTGTCAAAGTGGATTTAGAATTTTTAAACTGAATTTACTGACTAGAATAGGCTACTATTGGCATGAAAAGGGGCAAGCTTTCTGTGGAAGTCCACTCAGATTGTCACCTGCATGGTTTGTTGACTAATACTGTAATGGATTCTGTCTCAGAAGTACAGCAGAAAGATCCCGGAGAGATATCTGGCAACTTTTTGTCTGATCTACGGTAGACGATTTAGCCCTATGATTCTGTGTGCGAAACTGGATATAAAGAAGCAAAACCTAAGAAATGGAGAAAGGGCACAAGACAGAGAGTCACTGGAGATTCTTTTCAGAGATGTCACACAGACTCAATTGACTGAATGGCCTTGTTCTGTAATATCCAGTTCGATAATTCTCTAATGATTTAATAGTGCAAATCTTTCCAAATGAAAACCTTCAGCTTTGTGAGTAGCATGAATAGATCTGTTATTGTTGCTCAGTGAGTTTGTGACTTAATGAGAACAGGAATTCTCTGCCAAGTTGTATTACCATGTACACTTGAAGTGCTTCCAAGAAATGGGCTTGCAGTGTGACCATACTGGAATGGGATCACTGTTTTAGACATTTATTCAGGATGAAGGAGGGAGGTCTGGAAACGGAGGATTACTGTTAAAGAAATCCTGGGATCTGGACATAATTCCTCCCATGCTCTGGGAGCACTGGAAATTATGGTTTAGGAATTTGCTGACACTGAATATTGTCTTGGGACCTCAGCTGAGAAACAAGGAGTCTGACAGCATTGTCCTGATGTCCATCAGTCTTTCCTTTTAGTCACTGATTGATACATTTCCCAGAATTGAGAAAATGGTCCCAAGAACGTAATGCAATTTAGTCACCATAAATCATAGGCTCAGTTAATATGTGGGACATTATGTGCCTAATGCCTTTGTTGTTACAAATCATCGTGTCCTCTAACTCCCTTAGTTTCAGATGCTAAACAATATTTGAAAAATAATTGAAAGAAAGTCTTTGATTAAGCATCTGAAATTTACAACTAATTGCAATTGTGCAGTTGTTTCTATATGTGGCAGTGGTTTCCTTTGTTCATCCTTTGTTCATTTGCACTGATGGATTTTTCTTACAAAGCCACCATGCTGCTTAGCCAGCCTCATATGTTCGAGCTAATGCTCAGGTTTTAAACCAAATGCTTTGAGTTGTTACGGGTTGTGCAATTATTTGAAATTGCCAATTTGTTGCTTGTTGCATGTTCTATGTCAGTCTATGGTGAAAGGATTTTAAAGTAGAAACAATTAGCAGTATTTAGCAAATGTAACAGAAATTACTGGAGGAAGTCAGCGGGTCTGACAGCATCTGTGCACAGGAAACATTGAAATGATTGTTTGTTTCAGATCTCCAAAACCTGTACTACTTTTGTGTTATTTATCACATGTAAAAAGGTTTCAATTAAAGCAAAGCTGGATTCTTTAACAGTCACTCTTTCAACACTTTTTATCGGTAACTATTAATAAGTTTTGTTGTTGCTTGTTTTTAGAATCGATCTGTGGAGAGTTGGATCAACGGTTGTCTGTACACTCTGTCAAAAAACCCTGGAAGTAGCCAAGCAGCTGAATGGGTGCAAACAATTGCATTTGTCATTAAAGAAGTTTTAAAGGGAAAGTCTCTGAATAAGACAGGTTAGTGAATGCTTGTGGCAATATCCAAGGACAAAAAAAGAAATTGGAAATAGGAACGGGAGTAGGCCATTTGGGCCCTCAAGCCTGTTCCACCGTTCAATTAGATCATGGCTTATCCATCAATAGATGCCCCTATTGATCAAGAATCTTTCTATCTCAATCTTAAATATACTCAAAGATTCTGCCCGACAGCTGGCTGTGGCAAGGAGTTCCAATGGCTCTCAACCCTCTGAGAGAAGAAATTCTTCGCCATCTTACTATTAAATTAGCACACCTTTATTATGCAACTATGGCATCTGTTGTTAGTCTGTGTGATGAGGGAAAAAAGTCCCTCATTCTCCACCCTATCTAGTCCCTTAAGAATCCTGAAACAAAAAACAAAATTGCTGGAGAAGCTCCACAGGTCTGGCAGCATCTGTGGAGAGAAAACCGAGTTAACGTTTCGAGTCCAGCAACTCTTCGGAACTTTCTATATGTTTCAATGAGATCATCTCTTATTCTTTTAAATTCCAATAAGTAGATCCCAACCTGTTTTTCCTTTCTCCCTAAGACAAGAAGTGTGAGAAAATTGTGCCACCGTGCTTTAGATAGTGCCTTTGCATGAACCAACTAAGAATGATAGTTGTACAGTGCTGATCTGGCAATGTGATCTAGTATTTAGTTTGCTTTATTAATTGCTGTCCTGCAATGCATGATTAAGGCCACAGAAGTGTAGAGTGCATATAAACTCCAAAGTCTCTTAAGTTCTTCTAAATATTTATTCATTACATAGATCAGTGCCATACAACAAAAAAAAGGACACAACATTTATGTCAAATTTATTGCAAGCTCCTTTGACTGTCTCTTGTTGATGTTAAAATCCATGATAAGAAGTGTCAACATTTGATAGCCAGAGACTTTTTCCCAGAGCTGAAATGACTATTACGAGGGGGCATAATTTTAAGGTCATTGGAGGAAGGTATGTAGGAGATGTCAAAGGTAGGTTCTTTACACAGAGTGGTGGGTGTGTGGAATGCACTGCTGGCAGTGGCAGTGGAGTCAGATACTTTAGAGACTTTTAAGCGACTCTTGGATAGACACATGGATGATAGTATAATGTAGGGTATGCAGGGTAGTTTGATCTTAGTAGGATAATAGGTCGGCACAATATCGTGGGCCGAAGGGTCTGTACTGTGCTGTACTGTTCTATGTTCTATATTTAACATTCAGTGCTTGTCATGCCAGTAGATGGCAAAGTGATTAGCACTTATTAAAGGTTCAGTGTTTTGTAATTATGATGTCATTGGGTAATAGTGTACAAATCAGTTTGACTCCAGATATTGGATTTGAACATAAATCAAGAAGTGTTACCTTTGGCTGTCACAAAAATTTCCCTGTACCTCCGAAACTGTAAAGAAGAAATTTAAGCATCTATTACTGTCAGCATAACCTACACTTCAAGTAACTTGACATTCCCTACCAACTGATGTTTCCTCATTCTTAACCTGAAGAAGTTCCCTTCAAAATGGTCACTTTTTCATCTAATACCTACCCACTTGCGGTGACCTAGAATTCACATGCTGAGTGTTGGGTTTCCCACCCCATTAAAAGTTGGAATTAAATTCATACCTGTCAGATGAACGTGAAGATGAATCTATGCACAACCATCCTGACCTCTTCTCCATCTTCCCCCACTCCCTTGACCATCCCATTTTTTCCACTCTTTCCCCTCCATATTTTCCTTCCTGTTTTCTCTCCAAACTGCCTCCAGCTCTTCCTGTTTCTTCAGCATGGCCTATTTAACTTACTTGGCTTTTCTCTTCTCTCGCTCCCAGGGAACACTCGCAAATATCATTGAAGTCCTTCATTACCGGATTCTTCGAATTCTGTTGCTTATGTAACACTTAATGAATTTGTTAAACCGATCTTTGTTTTTTGTTTGGTAGAGTGAGGGTTCCAGCAATGACCACTAGAATTTGGGGACATCTCCCCATGGAATCATTGCTTCCCTAAGCACTACCTGCTCCTGTAGAAATGGTACCACACAGAAGGAGCCACTTGGCCTATTTTGTCCATGCTGACCCAAAGACACTCAGATGCTCTTCCTAAACACATCTTCCTACACATGGCCCATAGCCCTGCAACTTACAGCACTTAAGGTGCAGATCCAGTTACTTTTTAAAAGGGTTTAAAGCCACTGCCTCCACCGACAACTCAGGCAGCACACCTAGCACCAATATTCCATATCTCCGCCAATGAAGGATAGCATTCTATATACCTTCTTTACAACTGTATCTACCTGTACTGCTATCTTTAGGGACTTATGCATTTGCACACCAAGATCTCTCACTTCATCTACCCCTCTCGGTATGTTCCCGTTTACTGTGTATTCCATTTTACTGTTTGACCTCCCTAAATGTATTACTTCACACTTAGCAGAGTTGGACTTCATTTGTCATTTTTCTGCCCACTCCACCAACCCTTATATCTCATTTTTGGAGCTTACAGCTATCCTCTACGCTATCTACTACATGGTCAGTTTGCGTGTTGTCTTCATGTTTCTCAACAGTGCCCCCGGCATTCAAGTCCAATGTATAAAACAAACAGCAAGGTCACAACACCGCTTGAAACATCTTTCCATTCGTAAGACCATTACTCTTGATTTCCTGCTACTAGGCCAACTTTGGATCGAATTTAACACATTACCCTGTATCGCATGAGCTTTTACTTTTTTGACCTGTATGTGGGACTTTGTCAAATGCCGTACGAAAATCCATGGAGACAACATCCACTGCACTATCCTCATCAATCCTCCTTGTCACTTTCTCAAAGAATTCAATCAATTTCCCCTAACAATGCCATGCCGACTATCCCTGACTAGTCCATGTCTTTCTAAGTGACAGTTTATTCAATCTCACAGGATTAATTGTAACAATTTGCCCAACACCAAAGTAAGACTGACTGGCCTATAGTTGTTTGGCATTTCCTTTGTACTCTTTTTAAGCAACAGAACCACATTTACATTCCTTCAGTCCTCTAGCAACTCTGTGTGTTTAGTGAAGATTAGAAAATAACCCTCAGAGTATCTGCTATTTCTTCCCTGACCTCCTTCAACATCCTAGGTAACAATCTATCTGACCCTGGCAACATTTCCAGTTTCAAGGATTCCTACTGTAATACGTCCTCTTTCATTATGACTATTTTGACCAAAATTTCACACTGCTCCTCTTAGGTTACTATCATCACTTTCCTTTGTGAATACAGACACTGCAAATTCATTTAAAATTCTTCCCATATTCTTTGCATCTTCACGCAAGTTCCCTTCTTCATTTCTGATAGGTCCCATTTTTTTCCTTAACTATCCTTTTGCTGTTTAGATACTGGTAAAATATCTTTTGGGCTTTCCTTTATCTTGTTAATATTTTTCATGCCCCCCTCCTTGATTTCCTTATTTCTTTTTATTACCTTGATCCCTGTACATTCTATACTCCTCTAGGCAATCTGCAGTTTTGAGTTTTTTGTGACAATCATAATCTTGCTTTTTCTGTTTAATCTTCCCCTGTATTTTAACTCGACAACCATGGGGATCTAGATTTGGCAGTACCAGTCTTATTTTTCATACAGTCTCTACAGTGTGGAAGCAGGCCATTCAGCCCATCGAATCCACACCAACCCTCCTAACAGCATCCCACCAAGAGCTACCCCATCCTTGTAACACCTCATTTCCCATGGCAAATCCACCTAACCTGCACACTCTGGACACTATGGGCAATTTAGCGTGGCCAATCCACCTAAACTGTTCAACTTTGGATTTTGGAGGGGACATATCTGCTTTGTGCAATAAGAATCTTTCTTTTCAGTGTGTCCCACTGATTTACCACTAATCTATCCTTTAGCAGTCCCCTTTCCCACAGTTAAAAATGTTTGTTCTTGATTTAATCTCAACTGACATTTCATTCCTCTCCTGAGTTCTAACTTGGTCAGCCTCTACTTGAAATAGTGTGATGTGGAGGTGCCGGTGTTGGACTGGGATGGATAAGGTCAGAAGTCGCACGACACCAGGTTATAGTCCAACAGGTTTTTTTGAAATTACAAGCTTTCGGAGCACTGCCTCTTTGTCAGGTGAAGAGACAAAAAGCATAAAGGCATAGAATTTGTAGGCAGAAAGATCAAAAGATCGTACACATGATGTGAGTGGAATGTCGATAAGCTGAATTATAAGTCTGTGCAGGTGATCAATAGTGTCAGACGGTGTGAGTAAAGTTTAGACAGCTGAATAGTAAGTGAAGGAGATGATCTATAATCGAGTTAATTGAGGCAGACAGATAATTACAAAAAGTTAAAAATAAGGTGGTGTTGGAGACAAACCAAACAGCTGGAATAATAAATAGTGTAGCAGCCTTTCAAAGGGAGCTTTTATCATAACTTTCCGGAAGCCCGGTTTATTATACCTCCACTTTCAACTGAAATAATGTAACCTTATGGGTAAGAAAGGCAGGACAGGTTGATTCGTGCTGTACTCGACTCTGTTGCCCATAATATGTCCATATGTATTAGATTATGGACATGGGACAGTGTCTGTAGTTAGCTAGGTTTCTATTGTTATTGATTTTTGTTTAAACGGAGACTGCATTGGTTTGTTTCCAGTCCAGTGGCTGTTCCCTTCAATTTAATGATGTGATGTCAGTCAGCACTTTAGAATTTGACTGGAGCTTTTCTTAGCAGAGTAGAAACAGCTCCAATGTGATGGAAATTGCAGTAGAACCTCCATTTCTATCACAGCATTTCTATCACTCTGCTGGTGGAATTAAAGTGCCAGACACTGAGTAGATCCAAGAAATGTTCTGCCCTTTTATTTATAGTGTCTCTGACAAGTGGGAGAATTTATTGAATTTAAAAAGTACCCTTAACATTTTCTGAATTATGTTTGCTTCACTCATGAGAATAGTTTCCCCTCCCGACCTCCTCCCTTTGTTGGTAGAAGCAACTATATCATACAGACTGACAATGTTAGGTTGATA